CTTAGTGTCGTTGAAGATAGAAAGGAGATGAAATGGTAGACTACGCGAACCTACGAACGCTTTTATACTTTCCGTGGAGTCGCCGCTGAACGTGTTCAGTTACCACCTTCACTATTTTAACCACAACAAATCGCTGTTTTATACATTCACTGAACTTTTAATTACAGGAACTGCAAAGTTTTAAATGCAGATAAGATGGCTGTATACTCGCTAATTATTTAGACTTCCAAGAAATGAAGAAACTAAAGATGTTATTAGTAAGTTGGCATCCGACTAGTGGCGGGAAGAGAGCGGTGCTGACCTAGCCAGTCCGATTCTTGAAGCACTCCTTCCTTCCCTGCTTGCCCACCTTTCATTGCAAAACAAATCTGGTATTGTGCTAACAGTTATAATTTATTTCCTAAGGTGATATACAAACACTTCGGTTGAGACGGAGATCACATAATTTAGACTGATTTTTCCAGCATTTCTTTCTCCTTGTATGCTGTTCTTATTTTTAGATATATGAGTCGTAAGAAAACACATACACATGCATTCATGTAAGCACACACACACACACACACACACACAATCAGTGAAGAGGCGGGGCCAGGAGCTATGACTCGACCCCTGCAACCACAAATAGGTGAGTACACACACACACACACACACACACACACACACACACACACACACACACACACACACACACACACACACATCAGGAGGAGAGTGGTGGAGCACCTGGAACGGAACAAGAGTATAAATGCCAACCAGCACGGATTCACGGAAGGCAAATCCTGTGTCACAAACCTTCTGGAGTTTTATGATAAAATAACAGAAGTAAGACACGAGAGAGAGGGGTGGGTTGATTGCATCTTCTTGGACTGCAAGAAGGCCTTTGACACAGTTCCTCACAAGAGATTAGTGCAGAAGCTAGGCATCAGGCGCATATAACAGGAAGGGCACTGCAATGGATCAGAGAATACCTGACAGGGAGGCAACAACGAGTCATGGTACGTAATGATGTATCACAGTGGGCACCTGTGACGAGCGGGGTCCCACAGGGGTCGGTCCTAGGACCAGTGCTATTTTTGGTATATGTGAACGACATGACGGAAGGGTTAGACTCAGAAGTGTCCCTGTTTGCAGATGATGTGAAGTTAATGAGGAGAATTAAATCTGATGAGGACCAGGCAGGACTTCAAAGAGACCTGGACAGACTGGACACCTGGTCCAGCAAATGGCTTCTCGAATTTAATCCTGCCAAATGCAAAGTCATGAAGATAGGGGAAGGGCACAGAAGACCACAGACATAGTATAGGCTAGGTGGCCAAAGACTGCAAACCTCACTCAAGGAGAAAGATCTTGGGGTGAGTATAACACCGAGCATGTCTCCGGAAGCACACATCAATCAGATAACTGCTGCAGCATATGGGCGCCTGGCAAACCTGAGAACAGCATTCCGATACCTTAGTAAGGAATCATTCAAGACACTGTACACCGTGTATGTCAGGCCCATACTGGAGTATGCAGCACCTGTTTGGAACCCACACTTGATAAAGCACGTCAAGAAACTAGAGAAAGTACAAAGGTTTGCGACAAGGTTAGTTCCAGAGCTAAGGGGAATGTCCTATGAAGAAAGATTAAGGGAAATCGGCCTGACGACACTGGAGGACAGGAGGGTCAGGGGAGACATGATAACGACATATAAAATACTGCGTGGAATAGACAAGGTGGACAAAGACAGGATGTTCCAGGGAGGGGACACAGAAACAAGAGGCCACAATTGGAAGTTGAAGACACAAATGAGTCAGAGAGATAGTAGGAAGTATTTCTTCAGTCATAGAGTTGTAAGGCAGTGGAATAGCCTAGAAAATGACGTAGTGGAGGCAGGAACCATACACAGTTTTAAGACGAGGTTTGATAAAGCTCATGGAGCGGGGAGAGAGAGGGCCCAGTAGCAACCGGTGAAGAGGCGGGGCCAGGAGCTAAGACTCGACCCCTGCAACCACAAATAGGTGAGTACAAATAGGTGAGTACATATCGGAGGATACATGACGGGAAGGTATCAGTGAGTCATGGTACGGTATGAGCTGTTAAAGAGGGCGCCTGTGACGAGCAGGGTTCCACAGGAGTCAGTACTAGGCCCAGTGCTGTTTCTGGTATATGTGGTATTTCTGGTATATGACGGAAGGAATAAAATCAGAAGTGTCCCTGTTTGCAGCGATGTGAAGTTAATGAGGAGTATTTAGTCGGAGGAGGACAAGGAAGGACTACAGAGGGATCTGGACAGGCTGCAGGCCTGGTCCAGCAACTGGCTCCTGGAGTTCAACCCCCTCAAGTAGGGTTGAACTTCCCCGATCTTCATGACCACCAAGTGATCATGAAGATCGGGGAAAGAAGAAAAAGAAGGCAAAGAAGACAGCTGACAGAGTACAGTCTAGGGGGCCAAATGCTCATTCAAGGAAAAGGATCTTAGATTGTGTATAATACCGAACACATTTCCTGAGGCGCACATCAACCAAATAACTGCTGCAGCATATGGGCGACTAGCTAAACTAAAAATAGCATTCCGACATCTCAGTAAGGAGTAGTTCCGGACCCTGTACACCGTGTACGTCAGGGCTATATTGGAGTATGCAGCTCCAGTGTGGAACCCACATCTGGACAAACACATCAGGCATCTAGAGGAAGTGCAAAGGCTTGCAACGATGCTAGTCCCGGAGCTAAGGGGCATGTCCTATAAGGAGAGGTTAAAGGAACTCGACCTGACGACACTGGAGGACAGGAGAGACAGGGGAAGACATGATAACGACATATAAAATACTAAGAGAAATCGACAAGGTGGACAGAGAGAGGATGTTCTAGAGAAGGGACACAGCAACAAAGGGTCACAATTGGAAATTGAAGACTCAGATGAGTCACATGGATGTTAGGAAGTATTTCTTCAGTCATAGAGTTGTCAGGAAATGGAATAGTCTGGAAAGCGAGGTAGTAGTAGTAGAGGCAGGTACCCTACATAGCTTTAAGAAGAGGTATGATAAAGCTCACGGAGAAGGGAGAGAGTGGACCTAGTAGCGACCAGGGAAGAGGAGGGGCCAGGAGCCCCAGCAACCAAAATTAGGTGAGCACAATTAGATGAGCACACACACACACACACACACACACACACACACACATACACATACACACACGCACGCACGCACACACACGCACACACATGCACAACCCTCTCCCCCCCATACACACGCACCAGTTTCGCTGACATGTTTTGTATGTAAAGTTATGGAGAAGATTATCGGGAAAAGAATGCTGGAGCACCTAAAATGGAATGGCCTAATACATGACAACCAGTACGGCTTGAAGGAAGGGAAATCCTGCATCACTAACCTACTGGAATTCTATGACAAGGTAACAGAAGTAAGACAGGAAAGAGGGAGGGATGGGTAGACTGTATCTTCTTGGACTGTAAGAAGGCTTTCGACTAGAGGAGCATGCAGGAATAGCAGGAAAAGTACTGCAATGGATCAGGGAATACCTGACAAGAAGGAAACAACGTGTGTTAGTGTCCTGATGTGTTTGTCCAGGTGAAGGTTCCATACTGGAGCTGCATCTCCAATATGAGCCTGACGTACACGATGTACAGGGTCCGGAAAGACTTTTACTGAGATGTCGGAATGCTATTCTTAGTTTCTCTAGTCGCCCATATACTACAGCAGATATTTGGTTGATGTGCGCCTCAGGTGATGTATCAAATGGTGTTCCACAAGGGTCAGTCCTAGGTCCCGTGCTGTATATGTGAATGATATGACGGAAGGGGGATAGTCAGATGTGTCCTTGTTTTGCAGACTATGTGAAACTAATGAGGAACATGCAAGCAGAAGAGGATAATGTAAACGTACAAGGGGATCTGGACAGGCTGTAAGCCTGGTCTGACAAATGGCTCCTGGAGTTTAACCCCAGCAAGTGCAATGTTATGAAGACTGGGGAAGGACAAAGGAGACCGCAGACGGAGTACAGCCTAAGAGGTCAAAGGATGCAAAACGCACTCAATGAAAGGATCTTAGGGTAAGCATCATACCTAGCACATCGCCTGAGGAGCACATCAACCAAATAACTGATGCAACATACGGGCGCCTACACGCACACACACACACACACACACACACACACACACACACACACACAACACACACACATGTTCTCACTTGAAACAGGGACAGGAGTAGAGTCAATGAGACCGGATACACTAGTCAGGCTACACTACTCAGGCTACACTAGTCAGGCTACACTAGTCAGGCTACACTACTCAGGCTACACTAGTCAGGCTACACTAGTCAGGCTACACTACTCAGGCTACACTACTCAGGCTACACTAGTCAGGCTACACTAGTCAGGCTACACTAGTCAGGCTACACTAGTCAGGCTACACTACTCTGGCTACACTACTCTGGCTACACTACTCAGGCTACACTAGTCAGGCTACACTAGTCAGGCTTCACTAGTCAGGCTACACTACTCAGGCTACACTACTCAGGCTACACTACGCAGGCTACACTAGTCAGGCTACACTAGTCAGGCTACACTAATCAGGCTACATTACTCAGGCTACACTAGTCAGGCTACACTACTCTGGCTACACTACTCTGGCTACACTACTCTGGCTACACTACTCAGGCTACACTAGTCAGGCTACACTAGTCAGGCTTCACTAGTCAGGCTACACTAGTCAGGCTACACTAGTCAGGATACACTACTCAGGTTACATTAGTCAGGCTAGATTACTCAGGTTACACTAGTCAGGCTACACTACTCAGGCTACACTAGTCAGGCTACACTAGTCAGGCTACACTAGTCAGGCTACACTACTCAAGTTACATTAGTCAGGCTAGATTACTCAGGCTACACTAGTCAGGCTACACTACTCAGGCTATACTAGTCAGGCTACACTAGTCAGGCTACACTAGTCAGGCTACACTAGTCAGGCTACACTACTCAGGCTACACTAGTCAGGCTACACTAGTCAGGCTACACTAGTCAGGCTACACTACTCAGG